CAGTGGCCGCTCCTGGCCACCGCAGCCTCGACCTGCTGGGCTCCGGCAATCCTTCCGCCTCAGCCTTCCAAGTAGCTGGAACGACAGGCGCATGCTACCACGCCTGGCTAATTTTTTGATTTATTGTAGAGATGAGGTCTCGCCAAGTTGCCCAGGCAGTCTTGAACCCTCAGGCTCAGGCAATCCACTCACCTCAGCCTCCCAAAGGCGCAGGATTACAGACTGAGCCACCAAGCCCGGCTGAGAATTCTTTTTACTGTAACACACAGCATTCAGAAATCCTCTACTAGCAAGTTCAAGTTGTTGCTATGTGATCTCTTTAAAATTGAATTTCTGGAATTCTAAGCTACAACAGAGGCAACCCAGATCTGTGGCAAAAGAGAGAGCAAGAGGAACACATAATTGTCTACTCTTCTTCTTCCTTTAGTTTTCTAAATTTGTACAGAAGACACTAGTATATAACATACTCTGTGGCCCTTCATAACATCAGAAAGAAGCCTTGTTCAAGATACACAGAAAATAATGCCTTACATACAATTTCATCAATTTTCAGGTGCAGGAATGCAGATCCCAGCCTGGGCAACTTGGTGAGAACTCGTCGCTACAATAACTCAAGAAATTAACTGGGCGTTGTGGCATGTGCCTGTAGTTTCAGCTATTTGGAAGACTGAAGCGGAAGGGTCACTAGAGCTTAGCAGGTCGAGGCTGTGGTGGCCTTGAGCATGCCTCTGCACTCCAACCTGGGTGACAGAGTGAGACTCCAACTCAAAAAAAAAAGAATGCAAATCTACTACTGTCAGGCACAGATTAAACAAGTTAAAAATGCAGAGCTGGTATTTTCTTTATGGCTCTATTTATTTTTTCTGTATGCTATTTTACTATTTAACACTTTCATTTACTTGAAGATATCCTTGCTAGGTAAATAACCTCAGTCGCTAAGGAGCACAGGGCTTCAGAATGTTAAAGCAGTGACACTAAAATTATTTCCCTTTTTCTTTTTTTTGGAGTTGGAGTCTCACTGTCGCCCAGACCGGAGTGCAGTGGCTGCTCCCGGCCACCGCAGCCTTGACCTGCTGGACTCCGGCGATCCTTCCGCCTCAACCTTCCAAGTAGCTGGAATTACAGGCGCGCGCTACGACGCCCGGCTAATTTTTTGATTTATTGTAGAGATGAGGTCTCACTGCCCAGGCAGGTCTCGAACCCGCGGGCTCAGGCAATCCACTCACCTCAGCCTCCCAAAGGCGCGGGATTACAGGCTGAGCTACCGAGCTCAGCTTTTTCCCTGTGTTATTACGGTAGTAATAGAGGTAGCAATATAATGACCCTCTTATGGCACTTATAATGTACCAGGCAAAAACTAGAGCTTTTTATATATAGTAACTTATTTAATGCTTGCAACAACCCTGTGAGATAGATACTATTAATATTCCCATTTTACCGATGAGAGATTGAAGCACAGAGGTTAGTCACTGACTACTACAAGTACAAATAACTAGGAAGTGGCAGAGCTAAGAACTGATCTGAGGCAGCCTGGCGCCAGGGTCCTTCCTCTTAACCATTGCACTGTACTGTACTTATTTGACACCCCCATAAGTAAAGGGAAACGTGAGATAAAAAATGCTTTTAACAACTTTGTGGGCTCTATGGAACTTATTATTTGTTCATTCAGTGCTCCCTGTAAAATCAGTGATTACAGAGAGAACATTTAATCTCAAAGCATTCATCCCTATTTTCAAACTAGTATTTTCAGATCTGCTCTCCATCTGAGACCTTGCATTTAGAAAAAGTACACTTGAACTTTTTAGTTGAATTGGCAGATCAAGAGCTTACAGACAGGATATTGTCTTTGAGTATTTAGACTGTAGGTACTGACCCCCTGAAGCAGTAATTTGGATAGATCACAATGTTTCCACCAGAGTATAGCAGTATCAGGGGTTTTGACTTGAAAGTGCATATGTGTATATTTTATATGTACCTTTATAGATACGCCACTTCTCCACAAATGGAACCAATCTTATACAAATTCTGAAAACCTTTTAGAGCCATTTAAATCCAAGAAATATCTAAGCATTTTGAAGTAGAACTATGAACAATGAATGCAAAATGTTACCTTTCTGGAGGCTTGTGATAAGTAGAATAAATAAAACAACCTGCCCATTTTTAAATGCTTGAAGTTCAGTCCTAAGGAACCTCCTTTTAATCTTGCAGAATTAGATCTCACTTGGGCACGGATTTACATACCCTTCTTCTCTTTAAGTCTGAGCTAATTGATACTATTTGATAAGAAACCAATGCTATTTTCTTCTTTCTTTGTCTTGGGTTTTATGGAGCTGGCTGTGCTCTCTATTAGAATATATCTACCCTGGTGTTTTGGATCAGCCAAGTGTTTGACTGGAGGGAGGAATGGATCACCATTTCTACCCATGAAGTGTGCATTTTATGGAGGCAGCTGACATTCTTATGTTTATTTTTTTCCCTCAGGTCTATGAAGGTCTAGACATCATCACCAACAAGATTTCTGTCCAAGAGCAGAGACTCTGCCAGCACCACATGATCGGCTTTGTAGATCCTCTTGTGACCAATTACACCGTGGTGGACTTCAGAAACAAAGCAACTGCTCTGATATCCTTAGGAAAGACAGTGACTAACCTTGGTGGGTGCAAAGCAGCCCAGCCAAGAAAGAAGTTTTCTCCCTACTGGCAATTTCTTTTAAAGGGCACCCAATAGGTAGCATCCATATCAGACTGTGGATTGAAAGATATAGTACCCTTGCCACTCAAATTCTTGTCCTTAGACTGCAGCATCAGCATCCCCTAGGAATTTATTAGAAATGCTGACTCTTGGACCCCACTACAAACCTACTGAATTAGAATCGCATTATAACAGGAGTCCCAGGTGATTCATATGCACATTAAAATTTGGGAAGCACTGTTTTAGTGAGAAACCACTCACGTGGTTTCAGAAAATCTGTGTTCTAGACCTAGAACTGCCTCTTTTGACCATGTGAATTTTACTGGGTAAAGCATTTACTTACCCCACTGAGCTTCTGTTTTCCACCCTTTAAATGGGGTGGGGGGTACAAAGTTGATCTATAGATGTAATGGTATTGCAGCTAGAATTTCTTTTTCTTTTTTTTTTTTTTGAGTTGGAGTCTCACTCTGTAGCCCAGACTGGAGCCCAGACCGCAGCCTCGACCTGCTGGGCTCCGGCGATCCTTCCGCCTCAGCCTTCAAAGGAGCTCGAACTACGGGCGTGTGCTACTATGCCCGGCTAGTTTTTTGATTTATTGTAGAGATGAGGTCTTGCCTGCCCAGGCGGGTCTCGAACCCACGGGCTCAGGCAATCCACTCACCTCAGCCTCCTAAAGGCGCAGGATTACAGGCTGAGCCACCGAGCCCAGCACACCTAGAATTTCAAAGGGATTTTTTGGGTGAGGGAAGACTGGAAAGTATAGTTTTGGGTAAAATAAAGACATTTTGAAAAAAATAAAATAGGGAGACTTCCCTTATATCTTAATATCCAGACTGCCTTTAATATCTGAACTGCCATTAACACATTGTACAATCATAGTAATTATAATAGCATGAAACTTATGTAAAACTAGATGCATTTATGGCACAGAATAGAAAACCTAGGTACAGATTCAAATGGAATGTGTATACTTAGATTATGATCAAGGTGGCATTTCAGAACTGGAGAAATAGTCAAGTACATTAGCTTTCACTATTCACAGTTTCCACATTCATGGGTTCAACCAAATGCAAATTGAAAGTATTCAGGAAAAAAATATAAAATATAACAATAAAAACAAATACAAATAAAACAACAATATAGTGTAACAACTATTTATATAGCCTTTACGTTGTATTAGGTATTATAAGTAATCTAGAGATGATTTTTTCTTTTTTTTTTTGAGTTGGAGTCTCACTTTGTCACCCAGACTGGAATGCACTGGCCACTCCCGGCCACCGCAGCCTCAACCTGCTGGGCTCCAGCGATCCTTCCGGCTCAGCCTTCCAATGAGCTAGAACTACAGACACGCGCTACCACACCCAGTTCATTTGATTTATTGTAGAGATGAGGTCTCGCCAAGTTGCCCGGGCGGGTCTCGAACCCGCGGGCTCAGTCAATCCACTCACCTCAGCCTCCCAAAGCGCAGGATTACAGACTGAGCCACCAAGGCTGGCTATGACATTTTATTTATTTACTTTTAGTTGGGGACTCACTCTGTCACCAAAGCTGAAGTATGGTGGCATTATAACGTCTCATCATAGCCTTGACCTTCTGAGCTTGGGCAGTCCTTCTACCTCAGCCTCTTGAGTAGCTGGAACTACGGATGCATGCCACCATGCCCAGCTAATTTGTTTGTAAAGATGAGGTCTCACTATATTGCCCAGGCTGGTCTCAAACTCCTAGGCTCAAGCAGTCCTCCTGCCTCAGCTTCCCAAAGTGTTAGGATTATAGTTGTGAGCTACCATGTCTAGCCTATATAAATTCTGGATGGATTTTGGAGTTTAATGATTTAAAATAGTGATTTAAATAATCAAATAGTTTGGAATAACAATACATTTTAAAAAATGAAACCTTTAAAAAATAGGGAGAATATGCAATTGATTGAATAGCTTTGTGAATTCAGAATGGGGAGGCCCTTGTAGATTTAACTTTTTTAAAAAAAGGAAAATAACTAAATTTGAATATGTGAGAGTTAAAAATTTATATTGATGAGATTGTATATCCACCAGAACTTCTAGGTATATATCCTAGATAAATTCTTGCCACAGGTATATCATGGGTACATGGTAGATCTTATTTATAACAGTATTATACTTAATAGCTAGAACATATAAGCACCCAAATTCTCACTTATAGAAGAATGTGTAAAATCTACTTTGTTCACATAAGTTATGTACTTTTCAACAGTGAAAAGGGATAAATTGCAACTATATGCGTTAGAGTGGAACAATCTCAGAAATGGCGTAAAGTGTGGGAAACTTACAAAAGGATACTTACATGTTCATGTTATAAGGGTTAAAAAGCAAATAAAACTAACCAATATGTTCTTTAGTGATACATACATATCAGTAATAATGTAAAGAAAAACAAGGGAATGATGAGAAACCAAAAAACAAAGCAATTCAGGATAATTATTACCTCTCAGTGGGAAAAAGGGGTCAGGATGGAAATTAATTGCAGTTTTCAAAGGAGTCAGTAATATTCCATTTTTTACATTGGGTTCATAAGTTTTATTTCTAAGCTTTACATATGTTACATATGGTTCTTTCATATGTATAGAATATTTTATAATTTAGAAAAGGAAGAAATTAGCCACTATAAATAAAATTTAAAGCAGAGTACAAACCTGGGAGAAAATATTTGTAACATAGGAAAGGGGCACAGTTATTATTATTATTATTATTATTTTGAGTTGGAGTCTCACTTTGTCACCCAGGCTGGTGTGCTCATGGCCACCGTAGCTTCAACATGCAGGGCTCGCCAGGCTCAGCGGCCACTGCACTCCAGTCTGGGCGACAGAGTGAGACTCCAACTCAAAACAAACAAACAAAAAAACAAAGCCGGGCTCGGTGGCTCAACCTGTAATCCTGCCCCTTTGGGAGGCTGAGGTGAGTGGATTGCCTGAGTCCGCGGGTTCGAGACCCGCCTGGGCAGCAAAGCGGCCACTGCACTCCAGTCTGGGCGACAGAGTGAGACTCCAACTCAAAAAAACAAACAAACAAAACAAAACATGCAGGTGATCCTTCTGCCTCAACCTTCCAAGTAGCTGGAACTACAGGCGCACACCACCATACCTGGCTAATTTTTTGATTTTTTGTAAAGATGAGGCCTCGCCAAGTAGCCTAGGCTGGTCTCCAATCCCTGGACTCAGGCAATTCTCTTACCTGTCTCCCAAAATGCTGGGAGTGAAAAGGAATAAATTGCAACCATATGTGAGTCACCACGTCTGGCCACACTGTCACTTTTAATGCTCATAGGAACTCTTGGGGATTTTACAGGTGAGAAAACTGAAGTTCAGACAGGCTGAGTAACTTGTCCAAGAACTGGACCTGGTAATTAGAGTCTATTTGTCTTTAGAACCCATGCTTCTGACTAAATTTGTTGAAGTATCAAGTGACAAAAATGTATACTGCTATCACATAATAGTAGAGACTGAGTCTAAAAACCTTAGAGAAACCAGTTTGTGGTGTGTCTTAGAAGGCAAAGTCACACAATGGATGTCACCTCAGCAGCTGACAGTAGATTCTGTGAGTACTCAGAATCTGAGTGCTCATTAAACTGGTTTGTAATACCAGTAAAACTTTTAGCAACAAGTCCTCAAAAGTTCTAGAACTGGAAGGTATTACCACCATGCATTTGTCTCTGGTTTATGTAAGTCTCTTCAGAACTGACTGGAAATGATTCTGAAAATTTATGGGAAACATTGAAGACTGGTATTAATTCATTTTGGTTTCTACCCATTCTGCTCTGATCTATATACAAATGTGTAGTTTCTTGCTAGTACTCTTTTTCAAGAAGTCAGGGCTCTCTTTTTGATATTAAATATTGTGTTTTTCTTAATATTGACATTGAAGATATATTTGCCCGAGACAAAATTCCTATTATTGTAGGGGGAACCAATTATTACATTGAATCTCTGCTCTGGAAAGTTCTTGTCAATACTAAGGTATGTTTAGTTCACTTGTAACTCACTGAAGAAATGGGTTCCTTTTTCTTGCTGGCTAATATTAGTGGGAGGAGGATTTCCTTTTCCTTTTTTAATTTTGTTTTTCTGAGTCAGGTCTTACTCTGTTGCCCAGGTTGGCATGCAGTGGCACCACCACAACTCATTGCAGGCTTGACCTTGACCCCCTTGGGCTCAGGCAATTCTTCTACCTCAGCCTCCTGAGTAACTGGGACTACTGGTGCATACCACTATGCCTGGTCAGTTTTTTATTTTTTTAGTAGAGATAGGGTCTCACTGTGTTGTCCAGGCTGATCTCGAACTCCTGGGTTCAAGCAATCATCCTGCCTTGGCCTCCGAAAGTGCTGGGATTCCAGGCATGAGCCACCATGCTTGGCTTGCCTTTTTCTTATACTCAGCAACTGTAATTTTCCTACTTAATATTCTGAAGTAAATGCCACCTCCATATGTGAAGAGTACTCCTCTAGGGTGACCTAAGGGCAGGGGCTATGTGTGGGAAAAATGATCCTGTGTGGATTAATTAGCATCTCCATTTAAGTTAACAGTATATTAGGCTGAATCAGCATTTCCTGGCTGGCAGTAAAGTATATATGTCACAGATGGCCAACACTGATATTACTTACAGAAATACTACTGTATAGGGTAAGACTTGGTGGACTGTAATGTGCTGGCAATCCTGGTCTATTTGGTCACTCTTGCTGAGAAGACTAGATTCTTGGATATGTTAAAATAGATATGGCAGCCCTGACACCTGTTAGTACTTGGGACAGGGAAGCAGGGTAGCAGAGTACTTCCCTATGCAGTAAGTTCTCCTTCCTCTTTGTTTGCTGTGACCTCGCAGCACTTTACCACAGCATTTTGGAATTTTCTGTTTATGATCTGTCTCACTATATGGTAAGACCTGATTTATCTGTATTCTGTATTCCTAACACTTAGCAAAGTGTCTGACACATACAGTGTTTCAATGTTTGTTGGATTGTTGAATTAAATTTACTTCCAAACTGTCTTAATAGCCCCAGGAGATGGGCACTGACAAAGTGAATGACCGGAAAGTGGAGCTTGAAAAGGAGGATGGCCATGAACTCCACAAACGCCTAAGCCGGGTGGACCCAGAAATGGCTGCTAAGCTGCACCCTCATGACAAGCGCAAAGTGGCCAGGTAAGAAAACCTGACCCACTGATCCTGAATTCTTTTACACTTGGGAGCAGTCACTTCTTCAGTTTGCCTGGGTGATGACGAGAGAGGTTTGGTAATAGTAGTTAGTGGAGATTGATGTGTTGTTCTAGCTCAGCAGATTGGGAGGCCAAGTTATTGCCTCAGCTCAACTCCCTCAATAAATAGTTTTTTTGGTTTTTTTTTCTGAGTTGGAGTCTCACTCTGTCACCCAGACTAGAGTGCAGTGGCCACTCCCAGCCACCACAGCCTCGACCTGCTGGGGCTCCGGCGATCCTTCCGACTTAGCCTTCCAAGTAGCTGGAACTACAGGCACACACTACCATGCCCGGCTAAATTTTGATTTATTGTAGAGACGAGGTCTCGCCAAGTTGCCCGGGCAGGTCTCGAACCCGCGGGCTCAGGCAATCTATTCGCCCCGGCCTCCCAAAGTGCTGGGGATATAGGCTGAGCCACCGAGCCCGGCCAATAAATAGTTGCACCCTACTTTGTTGTTACATTTTAAATGCATAGCACAATATCGTTTTTCCTTAGGGCCTATGTAATCTTGCTTCATTTTTTATTTGATCTTTGCTTGTATAACAGTTTTCATATAAATTTTTCCTGGCATGCAGGCTGTTTACATTGTGATTTGGGTTTCATAATTGATTGTGCAATGCTGAATTCTGCCCCAGCAGCTTTCCCAGTGGGAGGTGGATTTTATAAACTGTCTCATAGATCAGCTCACCTTTACACATAGAGACTTTCTTATAGGGAGGAGTGATGGTGAATGAACTCACAGGGTCATGTTTTCTTAGGTTGTTTTGAAATTGCACGCTATGTGTTAGGTTCATTCTTCTGCAGTATTGGGAGTGATACCACTTCTGGCTTAGTAGAACATCTAATGAAGGACTTTCTACGTGGTGGTTATACAGATCAAATATTATAGTAACATAGTATTGATAGGAGTTATGAAGTATTCCACTCCATTGAATTTTCTATATCAGTGCTTCTTAATCTTTTTTTCGTTATTGCTCCCCAGGAGCCTATTTAGAAAAAATTCTCCCTAATTATAATCTCCTACAATAAAGTTTAATATTAAAGAATAGGATTCTTTTCAGGTAGGGTTGTTGATTGGAGGGCCATAGAACTTTGGGAGGTGTAGGCAAGAGGATTGCTTGAGCTCAGGGATTTGAGACCAGCCTGAGAAACTTGGTAAGATATGTTCTCTACACACACAAAAAAAAATTAGCCAGGTGTTGTAGTGATGCATCTGTAGTTCTACCTACTTGGAAGGCTGATGTGGAAGGATCGCCTGAGCCCAGCTGGTCAAGGCTGCAGTGGCCATGAGCATGCCACTGCACTCCAGCCTGGGTGACAGGGTGAGACTGACTCAAAAAAAAAAAAAAAAAAAAGAAAAGAATGCATGTTTTAGATGAATGAAGTTTATACTTTTCAGTATCCAAACATTTTATTTTAAACATTTTAACAAATCTTTCAAATTTTTAAAAGCTGGGAGCCTTATGATAGAGTTTCATTTTTATACTGTTTTATCACATGATTCTAGAGTTTGGTCTTTATTAATCTCTCCTTTTACTAATCAGTTCTTTCCTATCACCTCTTTTCATTTTGCTGCTTCTAAACTAGTAATGAGTTTGAGAATTTTTTCTTAGTAAGAAGTCAGTAGGCTCCAAGCAAGATATCTAGAGCCTGTCCTTTAGAGAGAATTGGAGGACTTTTTTCATCTTTGTTTTGGTTTGAGGCTGTATTCTAACCTCCAGATAAGTGAGATATCTATTACTACATTTTTTTTCCTCATAGATCTTCTTTGAGTGACCAATGATATTGAAAGACAAGGGGTCCTCACTCTTGTGTTAGGGTTTCAGGAAGTAGAATTGGGTCAGGAAGAGAAAGATCACTTTCAAGCTGATAAGTTGCAATCACCCAGAGTGGTACAGTATAGATTTAGGAGTTAAATTACCTAGTGCTGCATAACATAATAGATTACAGACAGAAAGGCATGGTGGCTTAAGAATAAGTATGTGAGTTCTTTTTCAGTGATCTTTATGCCAGTGAAGCACTGGATTAGCCAGGAGCATTCTTCATTAATTTCAGACATATTTAAAAAGAAAGCTGATGAGCTGGATTTACAACATACTTTTGTACTGTGGGAAAGGTACGCCAGCGAGACCAGACTTGTTGGCTTGTAACAAAAGCGTCTGGAACAAGCTCTTTTAATGCTTACCTGAAAGTGAGTACCATTCTGTTTGTGTAGGAGAAACCTGTTGTTTCTGAATCTATTTAACTGATTTCAGAAAAGTTTAATGTATGTTTAGAAAAACAATATTGTTTCTTACGTTTGTTGTTTTGTTTTGGTAAAGATAGGGTCTCGCTGTGTCACCTAGGCTGAAGTGCAGTGATGTGATCATAGTTCACTACAGCCTCAAACTCCTGGATTCAAACAATTCTCCAATCTCAGCCTCCTGAGTATCTAAGACTACAGGCACACACTACCATCACTGCTAATTATTTATTTTTTTTGGTGTTGTGTCTCCTGAATTTTATTTTATTTTATTTTATTTATTTATTTATGTTTGAGTTGGAGTCTCACTCTGTCGCCCAGACTGGAGTGCAGTGGCCGCTCC